AGAGAGAGATGTATCTGTATCATGTTTATATTAGGATAAGGAGAGAATACAGAAATGAGAAGTGAAAAGAAAGCTTAGTCAGAGAAGTCAGGAAGACGAGGAAGCCGATGCGCAAATTGTAACGTTTTGGAAATACAAAGGTTTGCATCTTCACATTTACCCTCAATAAAATCCCCATTTTCGCTTCTCTCTCTCTCATGCACTCACTCACTCCCTCTCTCTCATGCACTCACTCACTCTCTCCCTCTCTCATGCACTCACTCACTCTCTCCCTCTATCCGTCTGTCTCTCTATCTCTCCCTCTATCCGTCTGTCTCTCTATCTCTCCCTCTATCCGTCTGTCTCTCTATCTCTCCCTCTATCCGTCTCTCTCTCTCTCTTTCTCTCTTTCTCTCTTTTTTTTTCTTTTTTTCTTTCTTTCTTTCTCTCTCATTCTCTCATTCTCTCTCTCTCTCTCCGTAATAACTTCGTATAGCATACATTATACGAAGTTATACGAGCACTCACTCTCTCTCTCCCTCTATCCGTCTCTCTCTCTCTCCGTAATAACTTCGTATAGCATACATTATACGAAGTTATACGACACTCTCCCTCTCTCATTCACTCACTCTCTCTCACTCATGCACTCACTCCCTCTCTCTCACGCACTCACTCTCTCTCATGCACTCACTCACTCTCTCACTCACTCTCACTCCCTCCTTAAAATACCTCTCCCCCCTCCCCTTATCTCACTACTATCTCAAAAAACATTATCACCCGACGGCACAGGACAAATCCGGGCAGCGCCGACTTCCCGCCGTCCGAAGGTCGTGCAGGAGGAACCCCGAGCCAGATGGCAGCACACCCCTCCCTCCGCCCCTCCTCCCTCCCTCCCCCTTCATCCACATTCCCTCTCGCGGCGCTCATGTGGCGGCGAACGCGACGGGAAAATCCGCGTATATACTTCTCCATCACGTTACTCTTGACCCGCCTACATTGTCCTTTGAAGGCGGCAGCGAAAGCGCGAAAATGAATATATTCGTAGACATTTTCTTGTCTAAATGGATGGAGTAGAACCCGCGACCACATTCAACGGCGAGGAAAATCGAGCAACACACAAATATGAAAAGAGGTAAGCGAAGGGCAGGTCAAGGGTTGACCTGATCAGAACGGGAAACAATCAAAACCACCAGGCACATCTACTCTGCTTCCCGACGGCAGCTAAGGTTCTTTCGCCAATGGAATTTCCAACTGCTATAGTTTAATTAAATAGTGTCTAGCACCGCGCCGGGCCCTCAGATTACGTTACAAGGAACATGGTAAACAACACAAACAAGTATTCACGTGACCTGTTAAACTACATAAAAAATCCGCATAACCTGTCAAACAGGTAAAAGTTCTGTGACAGCATAGGGTAAGTTGCACAAGCAAGGTATAAAAAAGGGAAAGGACAAAAAAGCAACTCCACAAAATGCAGTAAAGTCTGACATACCTCCGGCCGAGCGGGGGCGAAAGGGAGGGGGGGGGGCGCATCGAAACCGCCGCCACCACAACACGTGCTTTGCTCACATTACGTACCCCAAACGGATCCACATATTTTCATCGTGGAAGCACTCTTTGTGTTATTGGAACATGGCAACGGACGGCCATCAATCCAATGGCGGTGCTCGGAGGCGGCGGGGAGAGCCATGGCGACTCCGTGTTGCCAGGCTCGGAGACACGAGGGTCGGCGCACGGAGGTGGAAGCCATCGCCGAGGAACGTGCTGGATGACACTGCAGAACTCTGGCGCAGGGCAATACTCTGCAGCTCTGTCACGGCTGACGACGACGCTGGTGAGGCTGGAACATGCCAGCACACGTACGCACGCACACACACACGCACACGCGCACACACACACACACACGCCCGCGCGCGCGCGCGCGCGCGCGTGTGTGCGTGTGTGT